ATATAATATCTTTATTCAGTTTATCTCATATCTTTTCTCAAAATATGCCTATTGATTATAAGAAATTTCTGTCAAGGGTAATTTCAATCATCTACTATATATGATTGAAGAGGTTAATTTAGAAAGACAAATACATATTTATAATAGATAACCAATTTAACTAATTTTCTTAATATCTCCAAATTAGTTATTTAGGTCAATGCTACTTCCAATCCTTAATATAAGAGTTAATTTGACTTTCAATTTATACTAGATATAAGATCTCAATCCATTTTATCTCTCATATTTATCTTTTTTTCCCCAAATTAGTCTTATAGTGGTTGTATATATTAACTGTTTCATCAAATATTAGTTCTAGTTAATACACATGATTAGTAAGTATATTTTTAGAAAGATAACACTTATTTATTACAAATAATTAATTTAACTAATTTTTTTTAATATACTTGAATTAGTTAATTAATTTTTATACTCTTTCGCTCTTTAATATAGGACCCAATTCTTGAGTTGATTTTGGTCCTAAATATAAGACCCATTTATCATATTTATCAATTTTCTCTAAATTACCCCTATGGATACCCCTCAACCATAATCAAGTAGAAGAGGAAGATGGGGTATTAAAAAAGATGATTATGATGTTTTAGGAAAAACGTGTCACTTTTTTTATAATTAACTAACTTATCTAACTTTCTTAATCTAATCAAATTAGTTAAATGGGTTTTATATTAAGAATCGGAGGAGTATTAAAGATTATAGGAATTATTAAGAACCGGAATAATAGATAATTAAGTATCGAACTCCTGACAACGTACGACTATGTTTTCTCACCACCAAACATTGATGGAATTCAGCCTTTTCAAGTTTAAACTGATCTTTCTTCCAAGATTAGGGGTTATATCAAGATATTTACGTCACGTCATATTATTTAAATTATGGATATTGTGATTTGTATTTATATATAAAGTAAGAAGCTGCAATCTGATTATATTGATGGAGTCACTACACACTAAAGGACAGCAATTTGGCATTCAAATGACATCGTTGCTTAACAGTGGTTGATTTAATTTGAAGTGTCTAGTTTGTTCATTTTTTTTTTTATTTTCTCTCTCAAAAGAAATCAAAATATGTTTTCCAGTAGATGTAGCTAACCTAACTTGATTGGACAAGCATTGTTCATCATTGGTTATAATTTAGGGAGAATTATCTACAAATTTAATATAAAAAATTAATTACTCATAAATTCTCGTTATAAGTAAATACAGAAAAATTTGATAAAAATAAAAAAAAATTGACTCATAGATAATATTGAAAATATAATCAAAGTTTTTGTTTGATACCTGTGTATAATTTTTCTTATGCTCATGCGGAAGAATTTCAATTATTACATTTCCTTCGTATAATTTTCTAATTAGTTATACATGAAAAATATTAAAATTAGTTATAGTTATCTATTTTGCAATAAATTATAACTTATTTTAAACCATTTTTCTTCAAGCCGATTAATGGACAGCATCCATGCTTTAGGCACTATTGAAAAAATATTCATTATTTTACAAAGTTGGTAGGAAGTGGCGCAACTCCATTTGCTCACATTTATTTATTGTAAAATTTCTCGAAGTGTTTTTTTTTAAAATAAGTATTTCGTTCCTAAAAAACACTTAAACAAATAGGGTCCAATATTGAGATCACATAAGTGACTTTTGCCACTCCCAACAAAATATTTTTCAGATATACAGTCAAGTATCAAATGCCAAAAAATATATATTGAAAAATTTATTAGGTCCTTCTCACTAATAAAATTTTTTATGAAGTTTTTGTTTTAATTTTTTCATAAAATATCATGAGGATGACTTGTTAGTTGGTTTAAAACTAGTCCAGGTTAAAATTTTATTCAGTCCATTTAGTCATTTATAATTTTGGTAGGTGGTTATTAACTTGACAACAACCAATTGATTAAAATCGACGTGTAAGAAAATATAATTCATCGCTCTCAAGGATTCCCTAATCGATTATGACTTTTCCAGTAGTAGTCACTATGTCCATATTGTGTGGCTTGTGATTTTAGATTTTCTAGCATGAGGAAAGGTATTTAATTAAGTCTTACACTATTACGATAATATTGGACTCCATAAACATGTTGGTTAATTACTTTTATATGATATGTCTTACCTACCCATTTTACATAAAATGTAAATAGGCCAGTCATGTTATTTAAAATATAGATGTTGTCACTTTTTGGAAATATCCGATAAAATTAGAACGATACAAAAAAAAATTACTATGTTTCTGCGCAAGGATGGCATGCGCAAATTAAGAAATTATGGAAGCTGTGATTTATCTCAAATTTCATAGGCTGCAATCTAATTATATTGAATTATTGATTGACCCGCCAGAGGACATCAATTTGACAATTTCAAATGACATTGTTGCTGCTTAATTTGATTCGAAGTGACTTTGGTGTGTTTGGGTGACACCCCAAACTATGGTTTGGAGATCCAAACCATGGTTTGGAGTGTCAATCACCCAAACACCCCCTCTAAAAACCAAAGCCATGGTTTTGACTCCAAAACTATGGTTTTGGAAAAAGCAAAAAATTTTTGTTTTTAGAGAAAAAAGGGAGAGTGTGAGAGCCTATATGATATGTATCTTGTTATTTTTTTATAAACATATTTTTGATAAACATATTTAATCTTATATTTATAAATATATATACACATTAATTATTTTATTAATTATATTATCTTATGTATTATTAATTATGTTGGTAAAAAATATATTATTAACAATTTTATTCCTTCAAATTAAAATATATCATAAAATCTATTTTTTTGTAATTATCATATTAACTTATGTCTTTTTTTTTAGTAATTTGTATATATAAAAAGTACTTCTGATAACAACTATCCAAACACTCTCACTTCTCAGAATCACTTTTTTACAAAATCTATTCTTCACAGAATCTATTCTCCAGAATCACTTTTCCAAACCACGGTTTGGTTTCATCCAAACACACCCTTAGCCTATTCCCATCTTTTCAATTTTTTTTAAAAACTAAAGTAGCTACCTAACATGATTTGACACTAACGCTAAATAAATAGTATTTTTAGTGAGTGCCATTTTGCAAATGGCAACAATCGTGGTTCACATCGTTCCTTATAATTCAGGGACAGCTATGTACAACTTTCATACAAAAAAAAAAAAAAAATTAATCACAATTTCTGATTATATGTAAATAGAGAAAATTCCGATAAAAATTGAGAAAAAAATTGACTTATAAATAATATTGAAAAATAATCAATTTTTTTATTTTCAATACGTATGCAGGAGAATTTTAATTATCATACTTCCTTCGATTTTATTTGTGAATTATTTTCTTAATTAGTTATACATGAAAAACTTTGAAGTTATTTTTTTTTAATCAATGATATAACTAACTGCAATAAATTCTAACATAAATTTAACCATTTTTCCTCACCTTGATAATCAACAGCATCAATGCTATAGGAACTATTGGAAAAAATATATATTTACTATTTTAGGAAATTTAGAATTAAAAATGTCATAAAATTTCTAAAAACGACTTACTAGAAATATAAAAGTTATTTGCAATTATATTTTTTTATTCGTTTGGGTCTGCTAATTGGTCAAATAAATTTTCAAACCCTATTTATAAATTGAAGGTGGTTGATACTGATACATCATTGTTTTAGGAGTCACTTGCTTAATTTATTGAAATTTCATAGTTATTCTCGAAAAAATTCATAAATAATTGCTTGTTTCTTTTTCTTTTTTTTAAGTCTACGATAAACCTAATTATTTAGGAAGTTGGTCAAAATTAATAAAATAAATAAATGTTTAAAATAAATGGACCCCCATCATGTTACCATTACTTTATCTTTTACCATCACAATTAATCAAAGTCAAAGAGAATAAGAGAACTAGAGGTAAAAATAAGTCAGACTTTATCCTTAATCAGTTAGATTTATATTAAAACTTGTTAGCGTGAGCTTTGTCTGAAACCTGTCACAGGCTTTTTGTTCAACTTGAATCTAGCCTGTAATTAAGCCTGACTTAAAACCTATCAAAAAGTCTATATTTTAAAAAAAATTATTAACATATATAAATCAATTCAAAATTATAAAACTCAATCCAAATTATCTAAAATACAAACAAGTGAATCACCATGTGTGTGTATATATATGTATATATATTCATTAATTCTTCATCATGCCTCCGGGGCGCGCACACACACACATACATGTCTGTGTGCGCACGCGCACGCGCGAATACCCCACTCCCACCACTCAAATCTTAGGATCAAAAGCATCAATATCTCCCACATCCTGTGGTTCCATCTCCCTGCTTAATTTTCACATTAATAATTCAATTGAGATGATATATTGGCAAATAGCGATAGAACAACACAAATCGCGGCTACGTTTCGTGGAAGATGTTTCAGAATAGGTTTTGTATAGAGGAGGTTATGTTTCTTTCAGAGGTTAATTAAAATTATAACCTATAAAAAAATTATAGTCCCAGGCCACCTGATAGGTTCAATAGACTTGTCAGAGGCATAAACTTAGTTTGCTTAAAAAAAAAAAAAGACATTTGAAAAGGCATAAACCTTTCTTATTTAAAATAGAGTAGGTCTCCACTCCTAAAAAAACCAGTCTCTACTCATAGTCAATTATATATTAATTTATCTAGAGTTAAATACATGGATCGTCTCAAAATATACCTGCATTAAGGAACAGGACAAAAATGACAACTAATGTTATATATAGAGATTTTTAACAATCTACAAGTATAAGGTTAAGTTGTGATATAAGGTGAAGTTACTGACTAGTTGTCTATATGTTGCATTTATGATTTGTGGTGTGTCCAACTTTGTTGTAACATGAGATTAAGTTACTTCAAATGAAAATTAAATTTGTTAATTTTTTGTATGTAGGATAAGTATATTTGAGAAGATAACATTTTGCATGGGGAGGCGATGCTAGTTTCAATAGGACCATGTCTAATTATAAGTGGAAAAATAAGAACAAAATATATTCATATGGTAGGAGACATTAATAGAGTTCGTTAATCAAAACAAATTGTTGGTAAAAAAAAATTATAAAAAAACAATAATATCACACATAGATATGAAATATTGATGGATAGCTATGAAGAAGGCATCCATCCATCCATAGATAGTGTTGAAATCCATGGAAGCCTTTGACCATATATGAGGAGGAGGAGTGGTTGAAGGGTAGAAATGTAATTGTACATTAGAAGCTTCAAATTCAATTCTTAGCAGCAGCAGCAGCAAGTTTTGCTCTTAGATCCTTTCTTAAGATCTTGCCTGATGGTGACTTTGGAATTGCATCTATGAATATCACTTTGCTTATTCTCTTGTAAAACACCACCTGCACCATCCATTAAAAACTCACAATAATCAATACCAACTTAATTGCATCAAATAAAGAAAGTGACAGACATTGACAGTTTGAGATTATATAACTGATATCAATAACTCCTGACCTCTTACTTACTGAAAAGTTTTATGCCACTAGATTATAAAAATGTTGACATTAGATTTTAAATTTAAAACTTATTATAATTTCATTGGGAAAATTTTTATAAATATATACTCTCTCAAGTTTTTAATATAGGAGAGGAGCCCTTTTAAAAGAAAATTTTTTTTATCCTTTTTGTGAGAATCTTTGGCACTTAAAGAGTATAAATTAATATGGTGTTGAAATCTAGTATAGTTAATAAGGACGACACTAAAAATTACTTGAATTTTATAAAAATTTTAATGTTTTAATTGTTTTTAATAATATGTGTGAATCAGGAGGGAGTAATTTTAAGTGCCTAAGTTTTTTTTTTGAGAAGATAATTAAAAATTCTAAAACTTGAGAAATTCACATAATTTTTAAAAAAATTAATTTAAAAATCAGGAGGGTGGGAAAAACACACCTGTTTTGAGACAAACTGTTTGACATCATCCTCGGTGGTTTCAGTGTGACCGTTGGATCTGACCACAAAAGCAACGGGAACCTCCCCAGCTGCTTCATCCTTCATTCTGAAAACCAAAAATCCAAATCTAGTTTTAATAACAACACAAAGGGGGCAGGTATTGTGTGAGGTAAGGCGCAGAGAATTAAGATACGTACGGGACGACTGCGGCGTCGGAGATGTGAGGATGAGTGAGAAGGAGGGCCTCGAGTTCAGCGGGGGCCACCTGGAAGCCCTTGTACTTGATGAGCTCCTTCAGCCTATCAACGATGAACAGCTCATCGTCCTCATCAATGTAGCCTATGTCTCCCGTGTGCAACCACCCCTCCGCATCTATCGTTCTCTTCGTTGCCTCCGGATCATTCAGATACCCTATACATTTTTGTCCCATAACCAGTTATTATTTTGGACCCTTCCCTTTTTGTTTCATACTTTCTTCATTTCTTGTCCATAATAATAATAATAAATAATAATAATAATAATAATAATAAAGGAATAAAGTTAAATCAAACAATTAAATGTACGTACGAAAACATAAATTAAATTAAGTTAAAAAACAATATATATGTGTATAATTTTTATGATTAGGATAACATAAGAAGCATATAATATGAGGATAAAATCATAAAACTGACGTGCAAGTATAATCATATACCTAACGTAGTCTAATAATAATAAAAATAAAAGGCGGTTACTTAAAAAAAAAAAAGGTATATAAATAAAGAAAAGGTTCGCATAAAAAACATCGGTGATGGGGGAGAAATCGGGTGAGTTGTCAAAATCGTGACGGTGGATGAAACACGGTCAACGGCTGATCTGGACGGCGGAGAATTTTCAAAACAATGATGCGAATTAATTGAATGCGGGCTGTGTTTGGTGTGAGGGAGGGAGCGCCGTCCCAAGGTCACCCAATTAATACGACGCCGTAAGCATCCCCTTGGAAAGCTACATCTACCAACATTTGTGTCTTTAAAAAGGTGCAAATCACAAGTAAACTCAGATCATCCTATCATGAACTCTCTAATAATTAATATACCGTACTACTTAGGTGGCTCCATCAAGTAGAAAGAATATAAATAGCCGTCAATACTTACTCATATGGATAATACCAAAATTAATTAAAAGTAAATCAACTAATTAAATTTGTATTAAAGCAAAATATTTTTTCCCCAAATATACCACTAATTAAATAGTTGACTTTACCAAAATAACACATTTTAATAAATTAATATTCTTCAATGGTACCTTTCATGATTTGATCGCCTCTAATGCAGATCTCGCCGGGCTGATTACGAGGCAAAGACTCGGAGGTCTCAGGATCCACGATCTTCATTTCTGCATTTCTGACCACCGTTCCACATGCTCCGGCCTTCACTTCCATGGGTTGTTTGGCAAAAGCTAAGCTCATTGTTAACACCGGTCCTGCCTCCGTCATCCCATATCCCTATATATAAGTTCATTTCAATTTCATTACATCATTCTTTCATCCCCTAACAATACCACTGCTCCTATTCATTCATGCCTTTTTTTTTTTATTACAATGGGCGGGATCGAATCATTATTATTTGAATTTCAGAATTCAAAATTGTCACTTAAAATTTTTCATTACTTTCTCAGATGAAAATCTAAAATTAAAAAAAATTCATTTCAAACATTTCAATAATATATTCTGTTTTTCAAACAAAAATATAATATCAAAGTTAAAAAATGTAAGCACAGACTGGCTCGAATATGACGACCATTGATTCGAATATCTGCATTAATGATTCAATCCACACCCGCCACTACTTCTCACTGATATATGTGTCATTTCCCATAAACTATCACATCCATACCACATACTATCTCAGTTACTGATTACAAGAGCCAGTTAACTGTTGACTAATTTAAAGAGGTCAAGAAAAGAAATTAAGTTAGTTATTTGTAACAAATATGTGTTGTTTTTCCTAAAAATTCTTACTAATCAATATATTGGCTAGAATTATCATTGCTAGAAAGATTATTTTGAAAAAATGTATAAATATGAGAGACAAAGTGGATTGGATCTTATATTTATGACCAAAATAAAAATAAAAATTCTTATATTAAAAACAGAAATAATAGTATATAAGTACAGAGCCACAGAAAACCGATCATATGTTTGTAATTGCCACAAACATATATGTTACGCTGGAAGATGGGTCTTAGGTTTAGGATCCAAAGCATATTATATACTATATCTGGTATTTAATATGAGATCTAAGTTATTAATTTAAAAAATTAAGAAAATTAATTAAATAAATTATTTATAATAAATAAGTGTTATTTTTTTAAAATTTTTTATTAATCATGTGTATTAGTAAAAATTATTGTTTGATGAAACTTTTTTTTTAACATGTATAATTGTTATTAAGATTATTTTACAAAATATAGATAAATCTGATGGTCTTGTATTAAGGTTTGAGGGAGTAGAATCAACAATCAACAATCAATAAAATATTAAATTGAAGCGAAGGTAGTGCAAACGCGGAAGATTGAATACCTGACCGAGTTTGGCCTTAGGGAACTTGGCTCTTACGGAGTCCTCAAGTTCTTTACCCAGAGGAGCGCCACCGGACTTCAATACTCTGATCGACGACAGGTCGTACTTATCAGTATCCGGCGACTTTGAGATCGCCAGCACGATCGGCGGCACCACCGGAGCGATCGACACCTTGTGTTTCTGTATCAGACCCAACAACGCATTGATTTCAAACCTGGGCATCAACATGATCGACGCCTTCGCCCTCAATCCACACAGCAAAACAGAGTTCAGAGAATAGATATGAAACAGGGGCAGCACGCAGAGAATCACATCTTCATGGTGGAAATACAGGTTCGGATTCTCCCCGTCGACTTGTTGGGCTATGCTGGTGACTAATCCCTTGTGGGTGAGCATCACGCCTTTTGGTAAACCGGTGGTGCCGGAGGAATACGGCAAGGCGACGACGTCGTCAGGTTTGATTTCCACCTCGGGAATATCGTTCTCGTCGGCTTGAGATAGCTCTGAGAAATGTGAATGTCCATCTGGTGGAGAATCGACGAAGATTAGCTTCACGTCCAGGTCCTTCACTTTCTCGTAGTAGCTTGATTGAGTTATGAGGATCTTCGCGTTGGAGGCTTTGGCTTGTTTGGCAACCTCCGCGGCGGTGAAGAACGGATTCGCGGCGGTTGTCATGGCCCCGCGGAAGGAGGCGCCGAGGAAGGAGAAGACGAATTCAGGGGAATTGCTGAGGAGGACCATGATGACATCACCCTGTCCGACGCCGAATTTGTTCAATCCGGAGGCGACTCGCCGGGCGGTGAGCTCGACGTCGTAGTAAGTGTAGATATCGCCGGTGGGAGCATTGATCAGGCAAGGACGGGAACCGAATTCGGAGAGATTCTCGAAGCAGTAAGAATGAAGAGGAAGGTGTTTGGGGATGTAGATGTCGGGAAGTTTGGACCTGAAGATGAACTCATTCTGGGGCTTGGTGGTCTCGGTGGCAGCCATTGGAGGAGAACCGGAGGAAGGTGAGGGAATGATAAGAGGAAACGTTGGGGGGAGAGAGAGAGAGAGAGAGAGACAGAGACAGAGACAGAGACAGGGAAGGAAGGCAGGAAGGAGAGAGAGATAATGTGTTCGGGTTTGAGGATGGTGTGTCTCAGTCTCCTGAGGAAAAATTCGGTAGGAAAGGATTGTAATAAAAGGAAGGAGGTGGTGGTTGGTGAAGAAGGGACTTAGCGGGGAATAAGGGAATTGTGCTGGGGCAGAAATGGGGACGTGGATTTGATGACTTCGAGTTAGACATGGGGTTGGTGAAGGATGGAAAATTATTTGGGATGTTCTTTTTGACCTGAAGAATATAATTATTTTTCAACAAATGTAATTGTGCATGTGTTTTTAATTTAAAAAAATATTTTTTTCTTTCTGAAGACATTTCATAAAATTAATTTTAAATTTTACTATTAAAGTGAATATAAAGTAGTAGTAGTAATAAATCAATAATAATAAGACCAGGAACCAAAGGCTGTGAAAATTCAAGTGCAAATATTTGCTTGTGCAAAAAAAAAAAAGAACGAACTTATTCACTTCTCAATTTATCTTTTATTCATAAATTTTAAATTTTTTTGATGTCATAGTTATCAATATAAATCGATAAAGTTATATTATTTCAGAAATTAGGAATTATAATAATCATCATTGGATGAGGCCTTGCGTAGAGTCTAGTAATTGTTGACTTATTAAATGGATATATAAAAAATACGAAATTTTAAAGCAAGAAAAGAGAGGGGGGGTTGGTGAGAGTGGTTTAAGGGGTGGGATGAGGAGCGGGGTGGGGCCGGCAGGATAACATCTGGCGAAGAAGTGGCCACTTTTTCAGAATAAGAATCACCATAAAAAAATAATAATAATAATAAAGGCAATTTATTATTTATATTATTATTTTTGGTTTTAATTATAAGATCTCATTTGTAACGAGATCTTATAATTAAAATCGGGAACAATATTATATAAGTAATAGTAATATTATAGGGGCAATTACTATTATCCTCTTTATAGTTTTGATTATGTTATAGCTCAATTTCTCAATGTTAACTTAATATTACTTGATTTTTAAATTTTGAGTTGACACAAATAGTTTAGCAACTTAAAATATCAGTCCATATATTTTAGAAAAATAAAATTATATATATTTTCATGATTTAGGGACTAAAATTTTAAAGAATTAAAAATATAGAAACTAACTTGTATCGAATTAAGATTCAGAAATTGAGTTCAGCTGAATCAAAGACTTGCACCAAATCTAATTTATGAACTATGCAGCCAAAATCAAAAGATTAAATATTATGAACTCCATGTCTCATTTATGCATCAAGATAACTAATAATATAGTTTTAGCAATAATTAGATATTTTAGGAATGACACACTCATAACCACTTATATCAAATAATCATATATATATTAATTATGTGGGATTCACCTACCGCGTAGCACCAAAAAGGGACGCAATGGGGCACACACTTCTCACTTGCCTTCCCACTCTACCAACTACCCGTCGTCCACGCGCGACCACACCTCAGCAGTCATCACAAATCATTACCTTCCCCATTTATTTATTTATTATTTTTTGTGTATATCCCTCAGCCCATGTAGAGATCACAAAAATTGATTTTTGTCTCCCTCAACAAGTCTTTCTCTCATATTACCTTCACTTTAAAATTTTTTTTTCTACGCATAGGTATTCTTTCATTACATATACCGTTTGGCACTAAAAGTGTATACTTTTCTGTGAAAATTCAAATTTTACTTCGTCATGTTGTAAGGGATTAAATGATATGTCACTCTCATTTTCCTCTTTCAGCCCAATATTTATCTTGGGCCCTTACTGGGCTCTGTCTTTTTTTTTCTGTTTTGTTTATTTGTCCAAAAATGGTGCAATCATGTAGGAATAATGTTGGTGAGTCACCCACTGACTCCACCAAACCTGTAAGCTCGCCTGCTCCTCTAATATTGTATCATCCTAGTCTCACCAACGTTATGGTAGGTCTACTTTCCTTAGATTCCCAACCCTTTCTTTTTATAAGGAAAAAAAAACCCTTCTCTATCTTAAATATAATAACTACTACTACATATTAGTTTATGAATGTTTAAAAAATTATTTAAATTAGTTATAACATATAATGAATGTGTATATCATTTTCTTCAAAATACCCTACAATCATTACTATATAAAGGGAACTACTTTTACAGATGCAATCAATATTGTAATAACATATAACATACTACTGTTGAAGCATACAAGATTTTATGTTTTCAATTTATCAAAAAACATTTTGTGTTTGATGGCAACATACTTGTGATGCTTATTTTATAGGAAAATTTTTCATTTATTGAATTAAATTTAATATAAGCACAATTAATGTCACATTTACAAGTGTATAAAGCTCTTAAAATTGTTGTATAAAATAAGAATAGAGTGAATATAAAGATAAATAAGAAAAATACTTGGAAAAAAAATCTAATTTGCATGAAAAAAAAATCATTTAGCGCCGTCTGTGGGGATCGAACCCACGACCACGTGGTTAAAAGCCACGCGCTCGACCACTGAGCTAAGACGGCAGGTGGGGTACGTACAACAATATATAATCTGTACAGGTATACGCAGGTAGAGTTTAGAAATAAAAAACTGGGCAGCTTTAGAAGTAATATTACCTAATAGTGAAATACACATAACAAATAGTATTAAAAAAATTAGTAAAAATTTTGTACAAATCTGCCGCTGTGTGAGTAAAAACACTCATGTTGCATTTAGAGAGATGATTTAAATATAAAATTAACTAAGATGAATCCTTATACATGAATTCGCATCTTTTTACTTGCATATTCTTTCTCTGAAGTCACGAATGTAAAATAAGGGCATTTCAGAAACTTTGTGAGAAAAAAATTCCTTCGTAATTAAATTATATAACACTTTTAATTTTATTGTAGTGCATCATATGCAAAGGAAACATCACAACCTATACAGCGAGCTAGACAAATAGACAATGATTTTCAGGACGCAATACTTGAAGCAATAGCTTTTCTTGGGCCACTGCTGAAAGCAACAGGACTTGAAGAAAATAAGAAACTCAAAGGGTGAAAAATTAAATATGATTTGGAGATGTTGATATGTTATATTACTTTAGGGCGTGAAATGGGGCACTTGTCTATATAGCAACTTCCATCTCTAATAATTCACACAATATGGAGACACTAGGCAGTTGACGTCTTGAAGCAATCATGTGTGTGTGTGTGTGTGTGTGTGTATATATATATATATAATTCCAATAACATTAACGCCTTGAAGAGCTAGAATGAAGCTTTGCTCATGAGTCACTGTTATCTCTTTTAGGCTATTCATGTTGCTACTTTTAGTTCTGGTTCCTTCTAAGGACTTGCATAAAATGACTTGCAAGTAGTTTTTCAATTACAATTTATGATCTACGAAGTAAGTATGTGATGAAAGTTTTGTCTTACCAAGTTTTTTCTTGGCCTTATGGTATGGTTTTACGACTCTGGAATTAATTTTGTTTCTTTCAGTATCTTATGGGAGACATCCTTATCTATCTTTATGGCAATCTTCAATGGTTAATGTTCCGTAACGTCTAAGCGCAAAAGATGCAAATTGCTGCATTCTCGTCCTCAACTTCGTACTTTATGCATTTATGTTGTCGCACTGCTTTTATCTTTATTCATTCTTTTTCTTTTTTGAGTGAATCATCTTTATTTTTTTTGTGTATAGATAATTGTCAGGTATTAAATGTGAGTATCTCTTCTCATAGAGATTCAAACCGTGATTCCCTATGTCTTGAAAGACTAGTCATTTTCACTAAACTTAACCAATAATATTAGTAATTATCTTTATTTCTATTTGTTAATTATGTGTTGTACATTTGGACTATATTTATGTTGCGTGTAGAATGGGCTTCAATAGGTGCTACATGTCCTCAATTTTTGTAATGGAATCCAACCTTTTATGGATGATTTAATGCTCGTTTACAATCATGTTTGAAATTGCTTATAAACATGTTTTATATAAATTTGAGACAAAATACCTTTCACATACTACCTCCGGTCCTAATTATAAGACCCAGTTGACTTATTTGAGGAGATTAAGGAAGTAAATTAAGTAAGTTATTTGTAATAAATAAGTGTTGTCATTCCTAAAATATCCTTGTTAATTAAGTGTATTGGCTAGAACTATCATTATTAGAAGGACTATCTTGGAAAAAAATGCATAAATATGAGAGACAACATGGATTGGAGTCTTATAATTAGGACCAAACAAAAAGTCAAACGGGGTTTTATAATAAGGACCGGAGGTAGTACTTATTTTTGTATTCTGTGAATTAAGATTGAAAAGATGTTTATAAGCTATTCCAAATAAGCTTTCACTTTTGATGTATAAAATTGCCTTTCTATGTGTGAGAAAAAAAACTTGTAGGCCAATTTAGGTTAAGTTAGGTTCACATGACATACAAAAAAAATGTCAATACTATACACACACAGTTAACTAAGAAAAAGAAACTGGGAGTGGGAGTGGGAGGATACAAGTATAACTACTCTATATCCAATAAAAAAAAAAAAAAAGAGATATAGAGAAGGTGAACAAAAAGTCAACATGATTCTCACCCAACAGTGCACGCAAGTGGCCATTAAAACATCTATATATATGCACACACAAGGAAACCAAACGACGTGAAGTCTTAGAGCACAAGAAATTAAAGGGAGCCACCTAGGGTTTAGCTGAGCCAAGCTAGGTGGTGGTTTCCACTTTCCATGGAGTCATCAACCACTGTGATGGTTCTCATCTTCCTTTCAACTTCAGTATTGTTATCACTGTGCTTCCATGGCGGTGAGGCAACGGTGGTTATTGTATCTAAGGATGGAGACGGAGACTATGGAAGTATAAGTGAAGCCATATCCAAAGCTCCCAGGTTCAGTGACACACCCTACACCATCCAAGTTCGAAGCGGCACTTATAAAGAATACGTCGTCGTCCCGTCGCAAAAAATCAACATTAAGATCGTCGGCGATGGCCCTCAGCAGACCAGAATAGTCGGTTCCCATTATGGCACAACCTTAGGTACATATATTTGTTTATATTTATCTGCAATAACAAATCCTTTCTTTAATGATTTGTTGAAAATCATGTCTCTCCTCATTCAAAATATAGCATCATCCATAGATTTCTTACTGAGTTATTGTGCTGCTGCAACAGAAAAGTAGGATTCACCACCAGCTCTATTGACAAGATGATTTTCAACAAGAAAGAAATATGTCATGACCACAACCAGTCTAAAAAGTCATGCTTTCTAGACTCGACATGGCCTAGTTTAAATTGGATGTGGTCGTGTTAGGTCTAAAAACTACTATTTTCAGTTTTTAATATAAGAATCAGTTTAATTTTTAATTTAATTTTAAGTACAAGATCTCAAATTACTTTATCTTCTATGTTTATTCATTTTTCTCAAAGTAATCTTTATAGTAGTTGCATATGTTAAAGATTCCATTAAATGATAGTTTTAGCTAATAAATATAATTAGCAAGGATATTCTAGAAAATTCAACTTATATTTGTTTCAAATAACTAACTTAATAAACTTTCTTAAACTACTCAAATTAGTCAAATAACTTTTATATTAAAGACTGGAGGTAGTATGGCTTTCTAAACTTGACTTGAGAACCGGTCTAGAAAATTTTAAATAAGTTGAATGACCGATTTAAAAAGTATCAAACTTCTTACATAATCTCTATCTAAATTGATTATGGAACCGGTCTAGAAAGCAATTTTCAATAAATCTAAATTCAGCTTAGTTATAATATTATCAAGAAGGGGTAGAAACATTTTCTTGGAAGATATTTTTAATTTTATGTATGTAGGCACCCCTTCTCAAAATGATGAATATTTGAACAAATTTCTTTCTTGTTGTTTATTTTCCAATGGAAATCAATGAACATCATGACCCCAATTTTTGGCACTTAAGTTTCGGAGACATGCAAGCCAATCCTTTTGAAACTTTTATTCCGGCATATTCTTTTTTTGCCTTTTTAAAAGGAAACTGATGATAATACAATGCATTTCAAATTATATGGCATTAATTTAATGGTCATATATTGTATAAAGTGCAATTATTGGGGAGCCGAATATGCTGGTTTGCATGTTAACTACTCTACCAACTAAAATGTCAATTTTTCAAAGTTAGGGATATTCAGAAGAACAAATTAGGATTCAGCCTACGTGACAACTATTTATATAATAAGTTCAGAACTGTGCAATAATAGTACGTACATGTGATTAACACCTACATATATAATTCCAATACATTTTATAGACACTCACAAGGTTCGTAGCCTCCGAATTTTTTTTTTTGAATAAATACTGGATATCATATTACTTAATCTGGAAAAAAGGCAACAAGTCTTGGGTCCCCTTCACCAACTTTTTTTCGTAGCCTCCGAATTTTCAATTAGGTGTTTTATACCACATTCGATTCTTAGTTTTTTTTTTTTTAAATCTAATTTATAGTTCAAATTAAGAGCTGGAGGTAGTATTTCAATGAGTGATTTTTATTTAGAAAAGTAAGTTCAACATTTACGTTTGAACAAACTTTTATCACAATGATTTTTGCAAACTAAGATTGGATTAAAACTCAAATAGTGAAATGTGCAATTTTTGTTTGAATAGATTCTTATAAAAAAAGTCAGTTTGACAAAAACTTGTTCAGACGATATATTAAAAAATCAATTTCAAAAAGTTTAAATATAAAGAAGAGTAAAAATTTTAAGACAAAAAAAATTGTTTTAATCTCAAAGTGACTTTTGGACAAAAAATACCTTGCCTTTAAAACCATGTCAAACATTATTTATCTAACTAACTTTTTTTTTTCCTCCAATTGATTTCTAAAAATTAATAACTAAACTTTATAAGCATCTTGATGTTATTTCCTAAGTGCATTCAGTACTTTGATATTATTTTTATAATTACATCTAGCATTTTAATCTTTGTGTGGAATGCACTATAAATAAAATTAAAGTGATATAAAAAAAAGATTTGAATGCTACAGACACTATAAATAAGATCAGAATATTGAATGTATATGAATAATAAGATTAGGAGCTACATGCACTTTTATCTTGTATTTTTTGATCTCATGGCATCTTATAACTCGGAATAGCAGCCAAACCAGGATAGGGATGAATGAGTGAGGAAAGTAGATGTATTGAATATAATGGTAAGTACATTACTAACTCTAAAAAGGTCTATAAAATAGAATAAAGTGCCAAACATCCAACATCAACCACCTTTGACATGGAAACCGACGCGCACACCCATTGTAATTTCTGATAATTTTAGGTTGCCTTTTAACTATTTTGGTAAACCTAATCCATCACATCATATCCCACCAGCTTCTGCCTAATAACAGTGCCTCACCATCTTCATATGCCTAGCTTTGTCACGTTATAATCTGGAAAACAACTCAACAGCTCGCTCTTTTTTGAGAAATTCATTTATAACATCTTCCTAACTCTTATCCTACATACTCATTACTGCTTAATATAAGATTTAATTAATAAGGTGATTTTAATTCTGAAAATAAGATATATTTTTTATATTTATTAAGTTTTTTAAATTACTCCTATTGATATTCTTTTGACCGTAATTAAGTATGAGAGGGAAGAAGAATATTAACGAGGATGATTATGATGTTTAAAAAAAAATATTATATTTTTTTAATTAACTAATTCACCTAACTTTCTTAATGTAATAAAATTGGTTAAATAAGTCATACATTAAAAACCGGAAGAATATAAGATCTAGTTTGTAATGCAATTTGTATTATAAACAAGATCGCTTCTTTTATTACAAGAATTCTTTTTGGCCAAAAGATCTTTTATTACAAGAATCACCAACACATTTTATAATATAAGATGTTTTCCCTACAATATTAATTTTTTTTCCACCTCATAGTCTTAACTAATTATTAAACTTTATAATTAATTAAATTCCTCTAACACGCTTACAATAAAAAATGAATGGAATATTTCATAATGAGGCGTATCCTGAACATAACTCTATCTTCCACTATTCTTATCTAAACATGAATTAATTATAAAAACGCAATTTTTTAAACTCAGCTGACAAATTTTTTCCCCAAATAATTCACTTAAAATTTTTTTCATGATAGGATATCATTTGATGATGATATCCAACATTTTTTGTTTAACCACAAGCGCATCGCTAATTAGTCAGCATCATCAGATATATTTTCTCTGGGTTAAAACATGTTTTCTCACACATTATGTGGAGTTTAAAAATACATAAATTATATTGGTTATATGACTTATAAATTCTATGCTCAATTATTTTATCTATTCGTGGATAATCTGTGTATATTAGATTTTGGATACCATAAACAGTATTGAAACTAAACAAATATTTGTAGCAAAGTAATTATTTTTTTTTTTTGAAATTTTAATTGAATTCGCAGCTGTCTATGGAGATGGGTTCGTGGCGGAGAATATAGGGCTGGTGAACTCAGCCGGGTTAAAAGCAAGCGCCGCCGTCACCGTCCGGAACGAAGCCAACCACAGCATCTTCTTCCAATGCTCCATCGAAGGCTTGCAAGACACACTCTGGGCCGTCTCTGGCCGTCAGTTCTACAAGAACTGCGACATCTACGGCACCGTCGACTTCATCTACGGCGACGCCGCTGCCCTCTTTGAGGACTGCAACCTCTACGCTCGTTACCGGCCTTACGTCACCTTCACCGCCCAGTCACGTGAAAGTCCCGACGAGGACACTGCCTTCGCCTTCCAGCACTGCCAGTTCACGATGGCCCCGGAGGACGCCGCCATGAAGTCAAAGGTCCGTGCGACGTTGGGAAGGCCGTGGCGGCCGTATTCTACGGTGGCTGTAATTGACTCGTTCATTGACTCAATGGTGGACCCCGCGGGTTGGGAAGAGATGCAAGGTCAGCCTACCGATAAGGTGACGTATGTGGAGTTTAATAATTATGGGCCTGGGTCCAATACTTCTGGGAGAGTGAACTGGCCCGGTGTCAGGGTCCTTAGTGGCCCAGATGAGGCCCAACATTTCACAGCTTCTATTCTATTAGATGCTGATTCTTGGATCCCCCACAAGGGGGTTCCTTATAATTCATAATGATTCAATTAGGGGGTTCTTTGGGCCACTTGGCCCAATAATCCGAGTTCGGCCCAATTATTAAAACCCCCCGGTGAGCAAGTTTTCCTTTTATACCCTAAGCCTTAAATCTTTGAACTTAATTTACATTTGACAGCAGAATTATATGTGGTGTCATGTTTTATTTCAGTTCTTTACAAGTGTATTAAAGAATTTTATTGTTTTGTGATCTTGCCTACAGATTTATCAGCAAAGAGAATAACCTCAGTTCATATTCTTTTTTTCCATTATTTTTTCAAGCGTTACCATGCGTTACCTCATCTAAGTGAGGAGAAACAGTGAGTTGCTCTATTTGCCATGTTTGGATGATATTCTAAATTTAAGCTTGGCGTTGTGTGCGTTTACATTAATAAAATAAAAAAAATAGAGAGAAGGAAGAAATTATAAGTGATTGAAGAAGCTTATGATTATCTTTCTGCTACAAATGTTAAAGAAAAGGAAAAATCTTAAAAAATGACTGTTAAATTTTAAAATTTCAAACGAGAAATTACTATAAAAATGTGTTATTATGTGTTTTTTAAGTATATCTATTTTCTTTACGAGTATAATAATAAATACTAATTGAAAATTTAAAATTTAATAGTCATTTTTTAAGATGTTTTTAAAAAAGAAAAAAAAAGAAAAAAATGGTTTCAGTGCTTAGTAACGAACAATTATATGAAAAGATAAATGCAAAGGGGAAACTAGAGTTATAAAATTCAAGAGCAATCCTAAAATTCAGTGCTAAATTTTCAAGTGATAGTTTTTTTTTTTTTTGCTTTATTTATTAGGTCAGCAATCCTAAGACCAAGATTCTTACAACTTAGAAATAAATAATTTAATAAATAAAAGGTGATTATTTTATCTCTTTCATACTTCTTTTTCGGCTTTTTTACCGAAATACGATAAACAGTAAAAGTTTTTACCAAGATACTGCACTTTTAAAACTATTTACCAATATACTACACTTAAAATCGTTCTTGGCAAGAACGAGTTTCAAATTACATACAAGTCGTTCTTGGCATGAACGATTTCACTTTTTTTTTTTATATTTTAAATGAAAAAGTGAAATTGTTTTTGGCATGAACGATTTCAAAAATCGTTCACCCTGCGTCTGAATTGCTGCCAATTAATTCTCGTTCAACATGCCCTAGTTGTGTTGATTATCGAGATAGGGTTGCTCGCGACCAGCGTAACATTTTACTTGTACTTAGAGAACAACGTTTTAATGTAAACCCTCAGCCTGCTCCACCAACAATTGAGTTGCCCGGCCACAAATTCCTCGTGATAGACCAAGCAAGCGACGAGGTGGTTACTTGTCTACCCAACCTATAATTGAAAACGAAAATGCAAGGGAACAGGAACCTCCAATTTTTACTCAGGCTTCTGACATATCACCGTCACCATCATCCCCCTTCATCTCTATCGATCCTACACAACTTGAGTCTCATTACATGGCACCCTCATCATCATCCCCTTCCAACTCAGCCAATCCTTCTCAATTTCAACCATTCATGACTTTATTAGATAATCCTGCATTATTTTCAGCTGAATACAATGCTTCTACTTTTGAACATGGTGGACCATCAAATGAAGCATTTGTCACTCCTCGACAATCTATACATTTAAATGAATCACCCTGGTTTGATTTGAACACGCCAACTATACAAACAAATGAGACATTTGAAGCTCAAGAAATTGACATATAACAATAACGCCCACAACGTATGAGAAGAAGGCTAAGATGTGGTACTGGAAGTCACTATCAGTAAGGTGGATAATTTTTTCTTTATAAACTTAAACTTTATTTATTACTTTTTATTTTTAATCTTATACTTATTTCACAATTAGTTTTAACATCATTATAACATTTTTCTCTCATTATATAGTCATGATTTTGTCAGTCAAATGATTGATAAATCATTATACTAATCATTTTAATCAGGAGGGAAGGGGAGAAGTCATTCAACAGCAGATGAAGTTTTGAAGTTGTTCACCAGAAGAACGATTTTCATTCACCTCATGCACATCAAGGATAGATTATGAAGAAGTCGTTCACCAGATAAATGACTTTAAAAATTATTCATCTGAAGACTGATTTTAAGTGTAATATATTAGTAAATACTTTTAAAAGTACAGCATATTGATGTATAATTTTACAATTTGTAGTATTTTGGTAAAAAAGCCTGTCGTGTGGTATTTGTTCGGTTTGACAAGAAATCAAGTATTGGGCATGGGCCTTTTATGCCTGTAATAATAATTTAGTCTTACAACTTAATTGCTACAATTAAAAATTTACAATCAAAACATAACTTTTTTTGTTACGTACTGTTTGGTATGAGATAGATAAAAAGAAGAGGAAATGATAGAAAATTTCATCAAGCTCTATTTGAAAAAAAATTAAAAAAAACTGAGGTTTTCAAATTTTAATCCAATATAAGTAAGATGAAGTAAAATTTACTATATATGTTATAGCCTTACCGGAGCATCGTCAGGGATTCTTATTTTTGCATACAAGAGTGAAATCGTTCTTGGCGCGAACGATTTCAGAAATCGTTCACGCCAAGAACGATTTCACTTTTTGATTTAAGAAAAAATTTAAAAGTGAAATCGTTCACGCCAAGAACGATTTCTGAAATCGTTCACGCAACGAACGACTTGTGTGTAATTTCAAAATCGTTTTTGCCAAGAACGATTTTAAGTGTAGCATATTGGTAAATAGTTTTAAAAGTGTAGCATTTCGGTAAAAAGTTTTACTGTTTATCGTATTTTAGTAAAAAAGCCTTTTTTTTTTTTTTATAAATGATGTGTACATGCAAATTGCGGACGTAACATTTTTTTTTAATGGATTAACTTTTTTTTTTGATAAAACCTTTATGATATTAAACCAAAAAAAAAAAAAAGAAGCTTTTTAATAAAACCGGAATCAACTTTTCAGCAGCACATTGACAATAAGTCAAGCCTTCTTGGCTCGGTTTCTTCGGAAAGCACTCATTTCTATCCTTAATCTTTTTATATCCTGTAAAGCACACCACAAATCACTTTCACTTCGTCTTCTTCACGCTTTACTCTATATTCGCACTCCCATGGCTCCAGACTCCGTCTCTGATCTTCTCTGCGAAATTCTCTTCTTTTCTTCTTTCTTCTTTTGTTTTGTGGCCACCGAACTTCTCTGCATCGAGTATCCATTTTTCGCTGCTCTGTTTTTCCAACACGAAGAAGATGATCATCATCAGCATGCCCCACTCATTGTTTCTGAATATCCTCAACGCTCCAGGTTGCCCAAGTTCATCAATCCCTCCTTCATCATTTCTCTACTCACAAACAATTCCTCTTCCCTCCTTTTACCACCACCACCACCACCACCACCACCACCACCACCATCATCATCTTCTTCTTCTTCTTCTGCTTCTTCTCCTTGGCCTAACCCAGAAACTAAGCATGCGAAGTCTGCAATTAAAATTGAGGAACCTTTGGAAGTCATCTGTGAAATCTGTGCAGAAACTAAAAGACCTAATCAGATGATCAAGAACCAGACATGCCGCCATTCTTATTGCTCTGATTGTATGACAAAACATGTGGCCACGAAAGTCCAAGACACCATAACAGCAGTTCCATGTCCTGGGCTGGGTTGTAAGAGTGTTTATGAGCTTGAAGCTTGTCGGCCTTGGATTCCCAAGGACTTACTAGAAAGATGGGATAAGGCTCTGTGTGAGGCTCTTTTTCTGCAAGTGCCTAAATTTTATTGCCCCTTTAAGGATTGTTCAGCCATGATGCTGGTTGAGAATGAGATGGATCAAACAGCTGCAAGGGAAACAGAGTGCCCTATTTGCCATAGATTGTTCTGTCCAAGGTGTAGTGTCCCATGGCATCATGGAGTTGACTGTGAGGAATACCAGGGACTGAATGAGAATGAGAGACAGAGGGAAGATCTGCTTGTGAGACAGCTTGTTAAAGATAAGAAATGGGGAAGGTGTCCCAAGTGTAAGTTCTATGTGGAGAAGACTCAGGGATGCTTGCACATCACTTGCAGGTCAGCTTTCTATAGGTGTTTGTAGCCTGATAAATGAAGTGTGGTTTATAAGTTTAAAAAGCTTTCTCACCTGATAAGTTAGTTTTTTTAGGATAAGTTCTCTTTTTAGAACAGGATTAAAATCAAATCGTGTTCTTGTTATGCTCTTAATTGGTGGAGAAGAAACAAGTAGGGAAACAAATGTTTAATTTCATTAAATGATTGATGATTGATTCGTGATTGCAGGTGCAAATATGAGTTTTGTTACAAGTGTGGAAAAGAATGGAATTCTTCTCATGGAGGCTGCCAAAGATATTAGATTATTTAATGCTAAGGTTTGATGAAGAGCATATCATTTTCACCTGTCACTTGTCATTTTCTTTGACATGTTTCTTTGAATTACAAGAAAAAAAAATGAAGACAAGACACTGATGTGTCTAGTTTGAGTTTGATATTTGTAAGAAAATTCTACTGCATTGCCTTTTAAAATATATTTGTTTATCATATTATTCACTTATGGAGGATCGTTTGTCTCTTAGCTGTTTGTCTTCTTTTGGAGCCTAGGAGTTCCTTTTCAACCGCCTTTGTCAGACACAAAAATTACGTAGTCCAAATTCAAATTACCTGCAAATTAAGATTCATATCTATGGTCAATGAAGCTTTTCACTCCGTGACAGTAAAATCTGTTTAGCTAATTAGATATTATGCCTCCCATTCCTCATAAGATCTAATTAAGAAATTGATTTTGATTCTAAACATAAGATTTTATTTCATTTTATTTCTCATATTTTTTAATTTTTTTAAACTGATTTGTCTAACTTTTGCTAATATATAATCTAATGTTACATTAAAGTTTTTTTTTAATAAAATTATGATAATTTTGTTAGAATTAAGTACTTTATTAGATTGTTTTAAGCTTTCTAAATTAATTAGATAATTTTTACATTAAGGACAGAATGAGTACTATAGTGAGTAAAATAGTATGATTAGGTTAGACACTCAATAAGGGAATATGGCCAAAGGCCACTCCTTTACTCTAACTTCTTTTTTTTTATGAGAAAAAAATACAAATGTTCACATAAGATGAAAATCAGCAAACATACTACAAAGAGTAAGACAATCCTGAAGAACAC